CACTTGTTTAGTCAATTTAACCTACTGCCCATCCCACGACATATGTATAGTCCAAATTGGTGCAACCGTATTTGTACGTCAACAACAAAAGTATTACCTAGTAACAATACCAATAAAGTCCCAAAACCCGGTTGACGCATTTTGTCGTGGAATTATCCGGGTCGAGAGCCTCAAAACGGTTGCCTTCAATGCCTCTCTCAAGATGTCTGCAGTCAGTTGGTTCACCTACTCCTCATCTTTGACGAAATGAACCTCCCAGTCACCTGCCCCAAGAGGCAAGAGTACGTTGCTCTCCCCTGTGCCGTCTCTTCCCTCCCAATGCCCAGGCGCCTTTTGAATGGCTCAGCGAGATGCAGATGAGCGGCACTGCCCGCCTGCTCATTTCCATAACCTCTCGCGCCTCTTCAGCGATTGAAGAAGCTGGCCTATGGCAGGCGCCTCAAATGATACAGTAAATTCCTAAAATTGTCATTTGGGGAGGCTTTGTCATTCAACTGCAGCCCCCTTTCCCATCCAATTGACGATGGATCTGATTCCTCTACTACCTTGAGCTCACACTCGTTCCCCTCAGCCATTCTTTGAGAGCAGGTGACTTGTAATGTCATCAAGGCTGAGCGCCTCCACGGTCAGTGATTCCAAGACTCGTCTTTCTTGTCTACACTACGTTCTTAAACGGGAATGGTCAATGGATGCCTTTTTTCTTGCCGTAACTCTGCGTCACCAATCCACAAGAAGCCACCGAAAATTGAGTCCTCAATGATGGGAAGGCGGCCCCCGCCAAGCGAGTCCTGCCCTGTGCAACCACCCACCCCCACGATCCACCCAAATGATGACAAGAACACCACATTTGCGCTTTCCCGCTTACATTACCTACTCACCCAGGTAAGGTAGGTACTTTCCTAAACACGATGTAAGCCGCAAGGCGACCAATCAGGGCAGCAAGAGCCATCCAATGCCGCAAAGAAAGGTATCGGATGCTACAAACTCTTATTCTGGTGCCTGGACTGCTTCTTGCCCCGCCTCTCTTCTGCAATGCTGTGCCCCCGGGCTCTTGCTCAACAAATAGCCACAAGAGTCATCCCTCACCGCAGCGCCTGCCTGGTCCTTCCCTATTACCTATTCTGTGCTCCCTATGTCAGACTTCAGCCTCGTTCTTGGCTGTTTTCTTCCCACCCTTCTTCCGGCGCAAGTGAGCAGCTGCGGTGGAGGGAAGCGAACGATGCAGGAGAAGAGCGCGCATGCGCGCTCTTCCAGGTTCCTCTCGTCTATGTCTCTCTCTCTGGAATGTCCGCATCTCGCTCGCGAATGCCTCCCGTCAGCTCCTCATAGGGTAGCCTTACGGGTTTCCTAGCTCTGTTTCCTCATGCCTCTTCTGTGCCTCCTGCGTGCCTTGTCCGGTACTTGTGCTTCCCACAGTTCGTCCCCCTGTTGATATAAGAAGGGAGTAGCCGCTTCTTCACCCTGGGAAGGTAAAGATTGCAAGTTCCACGATATCCACTCAACGTTCAAAGAAACCCAGGCTCAACCAAAACACTCGGCAACTGATCCAGGATACCCTCTTGACTTCTGTTTCTCCCTTTTACTTTGATTTGACGTCCATTCCTCCATTCACCGCCCCATTGACGTCCGTTCTTCTACTCCCATCGCATTTCGTTACCTACACCTAGAACCTACGAGAAAACACCGTCCTCCCTCTTCTTGCTGACAGGTCACTGCTCATTATGGCCGCCCCAGCCGCTAACATGAGCTACTCTCCAAAGAGACTGATCGTGTGCTGCGACGGCACCTGGATGAATTCGTATGTCATGATATCAACCCCCCCCAGCTTAGTATTACTGATCTTATTTGCTGACTGAACCCCCGTAGAGAGAGTGCATACGTTAAGCCCACGCTCCTCAAACCCAAGGGGTCGCTTCAGATCCCCTCAAATGTGACTCGCATCTCGAGGTGTTTTCGCCGAAGGTGCAGCGATGGCCGGATGCAAGTCATCGAGTACGAGTCTGGCGTCGGCACGGGCAGCAATACCCTCGACACCCTTACTGGCGGTGCTTTCGGTCTCGGTCTCGGAGAGGTACGTGTCTCCTTTTCCCATCCGACTAGGGGGTTTGGACAAGTACTCACATGCACGACAGCGAGTTCGCAACATCTACAGCTTCCTCTGTGCCAATTACTGCGACGGCGACGAGATTATCCTTGTCGGTTTTTCTCGTGGCGCTTACATTGTCCGTTCTGTTGCTGGCATGATTTCCGACCTGGGACTCTTGACCCGTGAAGGCGTCGAGCACTTTTGGCCCATCTTCAAAGACATGGAAAACTGGAACAACCACCGCTACCGCGACGAGTTCCCCACGATGCCGTTCGATAACAAGCCCAAGGGTGAAGGGGCAGCGGAAGTTTACAGGGCCAGGCTGGAAAAGGTAAATCTGATGTTCTCCGTGTTGAAGGAAATTGGACACTAACCTGCATAGCTCGGCATGACCCGTGTCAACCAGAACGAGGGCCACGGGGATATCATTAAGGTTAAAGCAGTCGGTAAGGATCCCCCAATGCCGGCGAATCTCCACAACTAACAGAATCAGCTGTCTGGGACACTGTCGGTAGCCTTGGCATCCCTCAAATTGCCTGGTTGAACAAGCTCGGGATCTATGCGTCGAACCGCGAGTTCAGATTCTGGGACACGAGCCTGTCTGACAGAGTCGAACACGCATTCCAGGCTCTGGCTCTCGACGAGACGCGCTACTCCTTCCAGCCAGCTGTCTGGGAACGTCTTAAGGCTAACAGGCATACGACTGATCTTCGACAAGTCTGGTTTCCAGGAAACCACTCAAACTGCGGTGGCGGCTGGAACGATCAGGGAATTTCTAACATCACTCTTGCCTGTAAGTCTACGTCCATGATGCCTCTGATCATTGACTAACATTGAGATTCAGGGATGATGGATCAGCTGGCATCCATTGGCGTCGAGTTTAACCACCTCGCACTCGAACGCTGCGTGCAGCAGTCCAATTCGTTTTACCGGGCCCAAATCAAGAACAAGACCATCAAGTGGGCAATGGAGCCCGTCTACGGCCAGAACCACCCCCTTCGGCCTTGGGGTCTCGGTTCTATTCAGAAGACATCGAATCTTCTCTACACCTTGGCCGGAAAGATCATTCGCTCGCCTGGCTTGTACAAACAAGTCAATGCTCACACGGATGCTCGAACCGCTACTTTCCTTACGGACACGAACGAGCGCATCCATTCATCGGTCCGCATCCGTCTGGCTTGCAAGGGCCTGGGTTTGAATGACCTTGGAGAGTGGGACAATCCGGCCATGAAGAAGAATTGGCGGCTTGTCTATTCGAAGGCGACTTATGAAGATCCGGTTCCGCACCATCCAGTCTGGGAACCTGATTCGGATCAGCAAGAGTGTATGAAGCATCCTGCAGACGCCGACTCTGATGGTCGCTGGGTCTGGGAGTATTGTGGCCCTAAGGAGAATGCTCCTACCAGTCCCAACGGGAGGACTTTGGTAGAGGAGCCCCTGGGGCCGTACGAGCGTCACTTATTGAAGTTGACCGGTGGTGACCCCAATGTGTATCAGTATGTGGCATCAAAGGAGGGCACTAAGCGCGCTCTTGAAGTAGAGAGCAGCTAGTGCTAGATTTTGTAGCACGATAAGGCGCAGAGATACCCTTTCCCCTCATAGCATAGCTTTGGCGTTTGGCTGTTTTCGAAATATGGTATTAGATTAATAGATTGGCATTGTATACTTTGTCTTTGGTCATCAGCTTACACGACGCTTCCTCTCTTATAAATATGCTCTTCGAACCCTTTGCCTGCATTTGTCAGTATTCTTATAGGAACTCCCCAAACCCTTATCCGATGTATCTGCCGGCTTCCGACGCCAGCTTCCGATCGGGATGTCTTGTTGCTTGGGTGTCTTGCGATGCTGACCAAGCCGCGAAAGGGGACCCCACTCACCTCCAGCCCCCAAACGGCCGACGATCCGAGAACGAGCACGATGTCAGGATACGAGAGTGGTCCATCCACGGCAAACATGTTTCCTAAATGGGCAATTTTTTAATGATGGTTGCGACAACGACAACGACAACTATTATCACCGCAGCTGCTATCGCCACTATCGAGCTAGTCAGTCCACTCATCTCTAGGCCAAGTCCCACGTTAATTCTGCCGATCAAATGTTTTAAAGTTTTTTACTTTCTTCCGGAGCCATGTGCCGTCTAGTAAGTGTACACGTTGAAGGTGGTTTGTTCAGGCGCGTTATTGGAACAAGCTTATTGCCCAGCGTGGAGTTAAATTTTGGACGGCCCCAGTTCGTCATGCAAGGTTAATTCTAGATTAAGACCTGTCACTAACCTTCGCCCTCTTCGTGTTCGCCCGGTCACGGAGGTAGGGAAGCAAGAATTCTTTTCAGACTCACAAGGAAAAGCGTTATGGCCGATGCGGTGTAAGTGAGGGGAGAAGACGCTAGAGAGAAGCAGACTAATACCTCACTCATGGTGACATTATCTCATGAGGTGGGGTCGGTCGGGGCTGGAGGTCCCCACTGGGTTTGTAAGTCTACCGCGCGCGTCGGCTCTTTTATTTTCCCACCTTTTCTAGTGTAGATGCTGCTTGTGACGACGATGGTTACCAAGTTTTTGAGGCTGCCACGACTCGTGAAAAGCCAGAACATGGCAAAAAGTTGCGTCCTCGAGAGCAGCATTGGCTAGATTATTTTGAATTATTCAGCAAACGAGTGGTACGAACAGAGCTGTGGTGGGAAGATCAATGCCGTTGACCGGGCCGTAGTCTCGTTCTAGACTTACACGGCAAGATAGTATAAGCAATAGAGCTTATGCTCGACTCTGCTATATAGAGGACGTAGTGCCCTCGTAGTATGACTTCTCATCAGAGAATCGTCATCCTCATCATCCTCAGCTTCGATCCAGGACTCGGATTATACTCACACGCTTCACCCCATCATCATTGACTTACACCAAACTCCCCTCGCCATGATGATCGGCTCAACTCTGCTGGCCGCCAGCAGCCTCGCCGCCATGGTCGCAGCATACGACACAACCTTCGGCTTCAACGGCGCTCCCATCATCGAAACCCGCACCCTCGACGAGATCCACCAAGCCGCACTCGCCGAAGGCGGCATCGTAACAGCCTGGCACGGAGGCGACGAGACGAACCAGCAAGACGGCCTCAAAGCAGCCTTTGAAACTCGGTTCCCCGGCATGACGCTCAACATCACCGTCGACGTGTCCAAATTCCACGACGGCAATATCGACCGCCAGCTCGCCCTCTCCGCCCCCGGCAGACCGGGCGCGCTGTACGTCGACACGGCGATCCTGCAGACCTTGCACGATTACCCGCGCTGGGACCTCGAGGGCGCGCTGCTGCACTACCGGCCCGTCAACTTTGACAAGATTCACCCGGCGTTCCGGGACGTTCGCGGTGCGTGGCACGGGGTTTCGATTTTTGCGTGGACGTTCATTTGGAATTCAGACCGGGAGGGGGATGGCCCTCAAGAGTTTGCGGATTTCTTGGAGCCGAGGTTTAAAGATCGGCTTGTTCTTACGTATCCTAACGATGATGATGCGGTGTTGTATGCGTTCGATTTGATGTGAGTACAGCTATGCCTTCTGGGCTTTTCCCCTAACCAAAAGCCAAGTCTTCTGTCAAGGAAGACTATAGCTGAGACTCAACTAACACCCCCTTTCAACAGCATGCAACAATTCGGCTACGAATGGTTCGAAAAGCTCCTCGCCCAGAACCCGCGCTGGGTCCGCGGCACCGGCACGCCCGTCACCCTCCTCACCTCGCCCAACACGACTGTCTCCGCCACTTTCACCGCGGGCATCGGTCTCCTCCCCATGGCGCCGCTGAACGTGTCCATCCCGAGCCAGGGAAGCTTCGTGACGTGGGCGCAGAGGGCGGCGACTTTCAAGGACGCGCCACACCCGGAGGGCGCGAAGCTGCTTCACAATTTTATGCTGAGCGACGAGTATCAGTCGACGACGGGATCGTGGAGCGTGAGGAAGGATGTGGCGCCGCCGGCTGGGTACCCAGCGATTATGGATGTTAACACGACGAATCCGGTTGAGTTTGAGAGATTTATGGGGGACCGGGTGCGTGTTGAGCGGTTGAAGCTGTTCTTTGAGGATAAGATTGGGACGGCGCAGGGATTGAGTCCTCTTATTGATGACTTGTGAAGGTTTGACTGGAAAAGTTTTTGGTGTGAGCTGTGGTATATGGACTACATGTGATGGACGGAGTTGAGAAGATGGGTGTATAGGAGTTGGCGAGAATTGGCTCTGAAACAATGGCTTCGGTTCAATGTTGTTATCAACTTTGTCGACATCGGCGAGACTTGGACATTTTCAATATCCAAGACGAGTCAGACAATCAATCATGGTCAACGTAGCAGGATTCGCAGAGAACGAAGATAGCTTCAAGTGTCTTCAATTTCTCATAACATGGGCTCTGCGATGTAATCTCGTGACTCTGGCACTTTCGTCGCTAGTCCAGCGCACCTTCTTGCAGGCTCTATCAAGTCCCCTCACAATTGTCTCGAACAACTATTCATAAAAACAAACTCAACTATCCTCTTTTTCTTGATTACTCCAAAGCCGGCGGAGCTCCGCTACCGAACCCACAGGGTACACCCTTGCCCGTGCATGCCGCAGCCCGAAATAAGCGGGACGGGACCTCCCGCATGGTTCATCCCGCCTAGTCTAAGTTGCATTAAAGGATCAGCTGAATCAGCGCCCACTCTTGAGAGTCCCCACGATGACGGGTTCCTAGGGACGAGACTGGAAGGTGAACTTGTCTAATAGAGTGTACCAAGGCATTCCTTACTAAGAAGCCGGTCGGAATTCCATTAGTCTAGGCATCAGCTTTTGGTCCAACGTCTTTCTGCTTCATAGAATGGAGATGATGGTTCTACAATGGCAGCTAGCAACCTCAAACCTCAAGAGTAAATTGGTATAAAAGTCCAGCTTCTGGGCGGTTGTAGTGCCAACCATCTAGCCCTTAGCCACCCATCTCTTCCAGCTCAAACAGATTTCCTACAACCCATCATCAACTCCTCCATCTCTCACAAACGACTATCAAACAAAGCTACTCCTTCACCACCCAAAATGTACACCCCATCCATCCTCACGCTCCTCGCAGCAGCAGCCTTCCATCTCGGAACCCCCGTCTCAGCAAACTACGAGTCCGGCAAAGCCGTACAGATCAACTTCTACTCCAACTCAGGCTGCTCCGCCTATACCAGCGAGACGGCGGCATGGTGGACCCGCTCCCCGCACGCGGCCGAGTACGTCAACGGCGGGAGCGCGGGCGACTGCTTCTCGCTCGGAATGCCGGGCGCGAGTGGGAGTCTCAACGTCGCCGGCGCGTGGCGGGGCAACGGGGCCCAGACGGGCGGCGGGTGCGATTTGTACGACGGATACAACTGTGGTGGCGCCAAGGGGCGCATTGGTTTCAATAGCGGTTCGGGAGGCTGTGTTGCTTCCAGGAGCTCGAATGGGTTGTTGTGGAAGAGCGCTTACTGCGGAGCCGCCTGAGTGTGGCGGAAGGGGAAAAGGGGGCAGGTTTCAAGGCTGTTGCGTCTTGCTTGGGTCTCATCAGATGTCGAGATGTTGGTCAAAAATGCTTGATTGATCATGGAAACGTACCAAGACTTGCTCGCAGGCTTATGTTGATAAAAGATGGAGTGGTCTTTGGACGTACCACGAATTATTCATGGCAAGGACAATATTGGAAGCAAGTAAATATTAACATCATCAAAGCCGCGTACCTTTTGGAGCCAATTCTGTCCCCACCATCACGAACACCGTGTTCCTAGAAATGCATCACGAACACCTGCCGAGAAGACCATGGCCTACGACAGACCTGTCTCTTCATCGCTTCGCTGGGACGACGCCCTCTCGCCCATCCACGTCTGTCCACTCCTGAAGCGCATCAAACAGCCTCCCCCACTTCCCACCAGACCACTCATTCCTCAACGCCTCCCACTCAGGCAAACACCCCCTCATGAACTGCAACCAGCCGCCGACGATAAAGTCCGCGTACACGGGGCTCTCGCGCCCGTCCATAAAGGGACCTGCTCCCCCAGCAGGAAAACAGGGGCCGAGCTTCGCCTCCAAGTTCGTCTCGAAATCCGCCAGCATCGTCTTCCTGACGTCCGAACCGGGTGGGATCTCGAGGTCCTCCCATTTCTTGCCCGGGAACCGGTCCAGGAACGACTGCCTGTCGGCCTCGGCGGTGCGCGGGTCGAGGGGCATGTAGAAGCCGCCGAGCGGGGCGCCGTACTGGCTGAAGACTTGGTCTACGAAGGCGTTGAAGACGCGGTGTAGGGCTAGCGTACTGCTGCCGTTATGACCGTCCTGGAAGAGTTGGTCTTTCTTGTTGGCGAGGTAGGTTCTCTGTAAGTGCAGCGCGATATCAAATGAGTCGCCCACGATCTCCTCTTTCTTCTCTCCTGAGCTGGAGGAAGAGGCCAGGGGGTCACGGATGATGGGTAGGGTGGGGAAGTCGCTGCCGTCGTCGTGTTTGCGGTTGGCGGGGAGCTGGAGCGAGTTGCGCGTCTTGGCGACGGCGTTGAGGGGGACCCAGGTTGTGTGGTAGGGGACTTTGGCGAAGTTGAGAGCGAAGCTGTAGAATGTCAGTGTCGTGACCTGCAGTCTGTTTCCACCCCATGACTTCCAGAATGAGATGCGGCAGAGGAGGGAGGGTGTTATACGCACCGCGTCTTCCACGGGTTCGGCGCCATTGGGTAGGCTTTCGGGTCGAGAATGATGTCGTAGAAGGTGATTGTGGGCTTGTCAGAGGTATCCATATTGGGCGAAACTGAAGTAGAATGCTGAGTGTCCGACTGCGTTGATGTGGCGTTCATGTGATCCTCGATGTAGGATACTCTGATGCTGAGCAATTGAGATAGTTAAGTGTCGAAAGTGAAGAGAAGCCAACCACTATTTCTACTTTTCACAATGAGGTCAGATACACGCGCACTGCTAGCGTTGGAATGTTCCTCTGCCACAATGCAGATGAAGCATGATCTGCACCTGAAATCGCATAGCCGCGATGAATCATATGCTATACAGGGCTCTAGCGGCTGCGACGGCGTGCCCCGATAGGCTAGCCCCGGTACCCCGCCCCTAGCTGTAAGACAAGACAAAGCCACGGCCCGCAAAGTGGGACAGCGTAGTCGGAGATCGGTTGAGCGAGCTAATGCAAGACGGAGCGAATTATGGGGCTGCCGGTGCTTTTCCCCTGGATACGTCAGATCCTTCCCGGAGGTGAGGCGATTACTGATCCCGGTCTGGTAATGGCATGTACACACTACAGCCTCTCACTCGATTCGGCAGTTGAATGACTTGACGCTGTGACTGCCTCATCGAGCACGTGCCTTCGTATTTGCCCAAAGAGTGAGATGGTCCAATCCACGTCGGGTCAGCGATGGCATGTAATGTTCGGTGAAGGGCTCGGTGAAAGATTTAGAAGTTGAAGATTGGCCAAGAAGAAGCTATACATCACCAATCATGAGGGGAGAGCACGCGCCTATCTTAGCTCGGTGAGGCACGCACAAACATGCACGATACTCTTGGATGATGAAGGCGGCAGCTGTAATGCCAATTGTATACAGTTCTCTTCGATCTCATTTGTGAGAGCTGAGCGAGGAATCGTCTTGTCCCAGAGTCATGTTTCTAGGATACCGGAGGAAACGAGCGGCCTCTGTTGCCTTCTCAGGTATTGGCACGGGAGATGACTGCTTACCCTTCCCACAGGAGTATCATTCGCCTTCAACCCATCATTATCAGCAATTCCCAGACTCGCGCCCGCCCTGACCAGCAATTCAGAAGCATCATCCTGGTCGTTCTGGCCAGCGACGTGCAGAGCCGTCCATCCATGAAAACCCCTCCGATCCAGCCGCGCACCGCCGCGTATTAGCTCCGCGATGGCCTCAACATGGCCGTACCTAGCTGCGATCATGAGCGGCGTCCACCCCAGACGACTTTCCACGTCCGGGTTGGCGGACTCAGCCAACAGGATCCGGATGCAATCCCTCCCGCAGCCACGGCGGGCCGCAGCGTGCAGTGCCGTTTCGCCCTGCGCGTTGAACTCGTCGGGAGGTGCGCTGAGCTTGAGGAGGGTCTCAAGTATCTCGTGAAAACAGCATTTTACCAGCCGATGAAGGTAGGATGGTGGTTCGAATGGCTTCTTTGGAGACTCTCGGAGCTCTGATGCGATGAGCTTGAGGATGTGGGGGAGACCGAAGGTTGCGTGTGTACGGTTTGCCAGGCGCAGGTTGCAGAGGTCGTGCTTGCTTACATACTACAGCGTGTCAGTCGTTTTGATCTCATGGATCACTAATCTTGAGGACCTTTAGTATATCGTGGAGAATCTCCGGCGGAAGGCCGTCGAGTGATTTCATGCCTATCTTCATCGGTTGTCGTGAACATTATTCACTGTTGATTCATTGATGGCTGCGCTCTTTGCACGACGGGGAATCAATGCATATAAGTACCTGTGCTCGGTGCTGTGTGCTAATCTTCACCGTGATTGATAATCAGCAAACTTTGCACTATCAACAGACAGCCATACAGCGCTGGATCTTGCATATACAGTTTGACCTAAAATGATAGACTCGATTTTGGCCAGGCTGACTTTCGGCAATTCGGAAAGTGATATTGGACGTGTTTCCGGACTGGTTTTTTTGTACAAAACCGTCAAATTTATCGTCAAATCCACACTTCATCAGGCTCCGGCTGATCTGCTATGATCAAATTTGGGGGCGCGCAATTATGGCATTGGCCCCTGAAGCGCTTGGAATGAAATTTCGAGAAGCCAGCAACTATTCTTACGCTCCGATGTCACGACTGGAAACTTACCACGCAAGTGTCTCAGGGAGCACCGCCCCCGCCGCCGCCTTCGGGGGCAGCGGCGGTCATTCTCGGCCGGCCTGCCGGCCCCACTAACACGGCACCTAAAACAGCTTGGGTAGCATTGAGAACACTGTTCCGACTCCCGGCAGGCAGGTGTGCAAGGGAAATCGATCGACCAATGAGAGCAATAGAATGGGGCTAAGCTTCAGCTTCGTTCTTCAAGCGCCAGCGCATCTGTTGAGTAACGAAATCGAATGCACCTAACTTTGAACGATTCCCAAGCTTTCAGATACGGTAATCAACATGAGCGCTTACTTGTATAAGGTTCGTTGGACGGGGTTATCGTTTGCCTGCAGCTTAAGCGGCACCGTGCAGCCAGAAGTGCGGCCACATCCAGCTTCCACAACTTGCAACTGCCTATATCAACTGCTTCACGATCATCGACCATCACATACGACCATACCCATTGGAAAACTCGGGATCCCGTCCGCTCTCCCATAGATAAGCCAATGAGGGCCGGATTAGTAGTTGGGTCGGTGACGACCAGCGAATACCTGGTGTTGTATGTTTTTGAAGTTTTGGTGGGCTAAAGTGGATTCACGATGTATTCCTTTTGGGTGCGGCCGGGCTCACTGATACGCGGGACGTTGTTCAGCCGCAAATACCGACACTTGGTTATAGCCGAAACTGCAGAAACCTTAACAGCCCGCGGGCGGCCCGCAGCATTGCCCCATTCATCTATCAGACGCAGGCGTGAGATGAACTCTATCATTGCACAGATATTCGGGCACCGTATATTGACCCGTTACAACGTCGTTCGAGGCGGTATAGAATGATCCAAGGTCTGAACCATATTAAAAGGGACTAAAAACTAAGTTGTATATCAACTGAAGAGGAGACACAGTTATACAGGTACAAGGAGTTCAGGACTGCACAAAACCCCCTGTACCCCTAGACCACCGCATAGGGCAAACATACTCCGAGACGATGAGTGGAACATCATGAGAGTCATACTATGACCCTCACTCCCGATGGCATGATGCCGTTTTCGGGGCCAGCATGAAGCACTTGAGTCTGGTGATGCTCAACGACGTACAATGACTCGCTCGTCGCCGCATGGGATGACCCGTTCGTCTAATTCCCAATGACTCGCCAGCACGGAGAAGAATAGCGGATCATAAATCAAAAGTCCATGGGAATTATGATCAACAGCGTAAAGCCAGCATGAGGTCAGAACTCACGGCCGGTCAATCTATTAGACTCAACAACAGAAACTGGGGATCGGAGGTAAGCGAACAACAAGATATGGTTGAGCGGGCATCTCCTTCAGCTTCCAGGTATAAGTAGTAGCGCTCAAGCTCTATAGATACGATAGTAACTACCCGCTAACCACATCGAGTCAGCCTTGCAATAACACCATATTCCACCCTTTTTTCTACTCAAACACCAGTCATCATGAAGTTCACCCAGGCATTCGTCATTGCTTCCATGTCCCTCGGCGTCATGGCAGGCTGCCGCCACGCTCCCGAAGTCTGCAAGTCGGATGTCGGTCCTATCTCGCGAGGCCTCACCAACGGTTGGGTCTGCGACCTTCCCGAAGACTTGCCCTGCCAGACCACTTGTGAGATCACTGGTGAGAGGCAGCGATCTGAGCCCGGCGTTGTTGGTATGGAGACGATGAAGTGCTGCAAGCCCCAGCCCGGCTGTAAGTCCCCCTTGGTGCTGAGGACTGGTAGCGTTGATACTGATATACTTGCGACAGGTTAAATATTCTTCTGGCAACGCAATTTATTGGCCCGGGGAATATCGGAGCAGGGAACTCTCTTCCAGAGCAAATTTGCCGTATTACACATGCATTGGACCTCTGATGTGGAGGCGTTAAGTGGCTCCTGCATCTCTGATGGTCCCAAACTCGTGGAAGAAGACGACGAGGCCAGTGAGTCGCTTGTGGAAGGGCTCCGAGAGAAGGGTCGAGAGAGCTTTCTTCCGGTCGACTCGGAAGATCTTACTAAGAACAAGAAGGCAATCGGGGACGATAAAGACTTGGGGGTTCAGAATGAAGTTATCTCTGTCAAAGGCTCTACCTCTACTTCATTTCTACCTAAGCATAAAGTAGTCTGTTCCGTAATCAGACACTTACACTAAAGTTCAGCTCGTGTATGCTAAGTCCCTTCAAGTGCGACATAGGCCAAGATCTTTCACAGAAATAGTCTTGAATCTCAATACATTTCCCCGCCGATGACCGTGACAACCAAGGAAACAGCTGCCGATCCAATGCCTGCCACGGCGCGTTTTACTCTTGACGACGTGTAATATCGGACTAATAAAGCCTCCTGCGGCAAAGCTATGGTATTATTTTTCTCGTCAAAGTCAAAAATGACGTCCTTGTAGAGGCCATACATGTGTTTGTAGAAGGCGTGGCCTGACGAATCTGGATCGTTGAGGGCCTCTGACAGGGCCTCATCAAAGGTGGTATCCTTGATCAACGCTCTCAAATGAGTGATTGCCGTGAGATCACGCACCGTGGCCTTGTTTAGAAGATTGTCAGATCGGTAACTGAGGAGATGGCGTGTAGCAGAGATGAACTTACAGGTCGCAGCGTGGCGACCCACGCCGAAGGCTTCTGTAGCAAGACGTATTTGTTGAAGAAGCGTCTGCCCTTACTGGTGCTCTCAAAGAGCTTAGTACGCATGGTATTGATATGAGCCCGTGGGTCCGAGTCAAACGGAACTGGGAAGATATCTGCAGTCAGGCGATTTGTCTGAGAGTCTTCGAAGAGAAGCAAGAAGGACTGTGCCATCACTCTGGTTGATGCGGTGCTCGCTCTCGAAGTTGAGGGTTCTTTATGTCAATGATTTCGATATATTAACAGGGACGAGTGCTTGTATTTCTTAACCTCGAGGGGATGAGGGGCTGATATAACCGCTGGAGACATGCTGGAGGGAGAGCTGCCGCAGTTTCTACCCATTCACGTAGAAGGTGGGTTGGAAACTTGACTTGCCCCGTTGTCCATGCACTCGTGGAGGGACATGAGGAGTAGTGAGGTCCAGCCATTAGCAAAGGCTAACCTACATCTGGTCCGGAACATCTCCATAATTTAACGATCGTGGACTTTTGGGGCCATCCTGAGGCAGTAATTTGCCATCCGAAGCTGGCCGATGCAATGATCTCGACTTGCACGAGCCAAGCTGTCCAACGGCATCGGAGCGAGCATGTGTTACCTCCGAATGATCAGCATGTTTCAAGTAGTTTTGGTGCTCTATGTATCTGACAATCGGAGCGTGCGTGAGGTCATCCTCAGGCTTCACTGGATTATTGCACAGTCAGGAGACCTCGATACATTCTCGCCGCCAATCAGGACTTCCCCAGAGAAGCTTGGCAGCTGAAGACAAATTCTGCAATACCGTATTGGTTGCAAAATTGGCTTCCTACTTGCTGATAGGCTCTGGAGAGCTCAACCTCAGTAGATATTCGCTCACTCGTAGGGCTTGAGGGTGTGGTCTACTTCCAGAATCTCCGGAGGATAAGTTGCTTAAAGCCGACCCACCATTTTCTTCCCTCCGCCGTTGTGAAGACAGTCCTCCAACTACTTGTCCTGTACGTCCACGACACGCCGCTGCTGCGGTTTCTCCCAGTCGCCAAATTACCATCACAGTGACCACGACGCGTCATTGCGGTCAAATCGGTCAAATATGCAGGTTACTTAGTGGTGTAGATACCAGGCCTACAAGAGTTGCCGGCACCCAATGGCGAAATATCTGACCAGACAGTCGGCGGTCCCGAAGTTCGAATGTGGCCGGTTGGCTCGGATACATTTCTCTCGGTATAATCACCGATTTGAGGACTGTACCATGCGGTCGCTTGACCAAAGTCCGAGAATGCGTAGTTATAGATGCGCTAAGATCTAATGGCTTGACTCTGGCCAATAAGCTGGAAGGAGTGTTCATCCTTACGCATCCGACCATTCAAACGTGAAGATAGCAGAGGGTTGCTGCAGAGCCAATGAGGATTCATGTCCGCGTTCATGGAGAAGTCCAACTGAGCCCCCCCCCCCCCTCAACTGGCTGAAGTTGGAGTACAATAAGTAGACGAATACCTGGAAATTACCCTGATTGCTTGGGCAGAAGTCACCTTCTGGTTTCCACTCGTTCGCATTGACGACTCCAAGGAAGTTTTAGTACTGAGCCGCTGCAATGCTACCTGGTGAATCGACAAACCAGAACGCCTTCGTCCCTTTGCCGAATAGGATGGCGCCTCCCAAGGTGAGTGACCACACCCCACGCCCCCACATCGTCAATTTGACTTGTTTGAAGAGCAGCATCTATTTCATTTGACGTCGGCTTCATGGTTCACCAGAGATATCCAGCTTGTCTACTCCATATCAGACGATTGACGCAGAGGTGTAGGAAAATGAGAGGGCCGCGCACGCGTGTGAGGAGGTTCCATTATCTGCCTACATAAATACGCCTACTGTGATGAACTATATTGCGATGGGGGGGACCTCAGTTAGCGATCTGTTGAGCCCTTCCGTCCAGACGAAGCGCTCGCCAAGGCATGAACGCTCGACTCTCAACGACGACCAAGATGCCAAGCAGCCCTCTAGTTCTATCACGAGTCCGGCCTCTGTCTTCGACGGATAAATCAAGAACACATTCCATGAAGAATCGCTCCTGCGAGACTCTGGTGCAGATGGCTTTGAAGAATAATCTCCTCAAGGCGAGAAAGGGAGGACGGACGATGACAATAACACCATGGAAGTCTCTATTCGCAGAGTATTATCAAGTAGTCCACAATACGCCGAAGCCATAGTCGTTGCATTCGACCGTCGACTTCGAGGACTCACTTCACAAAACCACGATGCTCCGGACTTACCAGTGTTCCTTACCAGCCTTTTCCAGCGTCTGCATGATCATTCAGAATGCGAGGCTGTCGACAATGAAAGCTCCTCGGCGGGAAAGCGGACTACTGATAATGGGGCAAGATCGAGAACCTCATCGACAGTGATACCGGCGGGCTCAGTCGTACCGAGTCAAACACCCGTTTCCCTCAAAAGAGAGAGGGAAAAGGATGAGAAAGATCCTCAGAAAACTTCCAAGAGCAAGAAGCCTTGTCACATTGTAACGGTAAAACACTGGCTCTGTCCATATGGTGTGAGGTATCAGAGGTGGGCGACTGGAGCTTGTCGAACGCCGACTAAGTTCAGATCGTTTAGCGAACTGAAGTGAGTTGAAATACCCGTATCCCTAATATCATCAGATAAACTGACTCGACTAGATTTCATCTGCGTTCGAGGCACTGGATCAGCTCTCAGGAAGGGGAAGAGCCCGAGCATCCTGAGCTATACATGTCCAACCAGCAGTGTGATAATATCGAAAAAGTGGCCAATGAAGCAGACAAGAAACGGCCCAAACAAGGCACCGAAGCCTCTTTTGAAAAGCAGCTGGGAATATTTCGGGCCGTCTGGGGCATCCTGTTCCCAGATGCTGGCTCTGGACCAAAGTCTCCCTGTAAGTCTCATTTCAAATCGAAGGCAGCTCTGCCTTCAGAACTTCATGAAGGGTCTAACAATATCTAGTTTGCGAAGACTTCATAGTTGAGGAGATAGGAATGCTTTCTCACTCTATCTTCGACTCTCGGTAGCAACAAGCCTTCGAACGCGGAGATGTTTCTAGTCCGAATGAATATCGTGCAAACCGCGCAGAGTTCACCGAGAGTATGCAACAACTATTCTCAATCGTTGCAGACTATAGGCCCGAGATCGCAGACCTGGTCCAGAATTTCGTCACTTCCACCGCTTCAGACATAATCAGTGATCATCAGAGGGTGCTGCGTGAAACTTCTGTTGAAGAGGGACCCGGTCCTTCACTCACCGCTGAAGGTGCCCCGATGGGGGAATCTGCAGAATCATCAGAGCCGACAGCTACTTCATCCCATTCCGGTAGCGGGAACTCGCCACAAACGAGTTCATTTTATTCAGTCTCAGGTTTCGCTGGCGGATTAAAGATCGATAGTCAGGGACCTCGGCAGGGCATTGAGCCTACAATGCTGCAACTCAACACAGAACCAGAAATGCTGACGACGTACTTGGATCCGGGACCACTCCACAGCGAGTCTGTGTGGTCACCTGATGGAACGGGCTTCTTACACACTGCACCGGAGTCTTCACAATCTATGGGCAACCGTCATTCACCGGCATCTCATACCGTGGCCCAGTCATCTGATCCAGCCACATCTCATCAACTGGATTCAGGAACCCCTTTTCTAGATCGGATGATGAAAGGCACGACGACATTTGATGATGACTTCTACTTTGACTGGAAGGAAGGGAAGCAGGAAGATTCAGCGAGTACTTCGGCAGATTGGGACCAGTTACCATTCTCTCAAGCAGACGAAGATACTGAGGACCCATGGCATGAGTTCTTCAACGTCTCAACATGAACGACGTACAAATAGAGATACACTACATGCCTGCGACTTTTTCCCCTCTCACATGATACTCGATCATTCCTGTTTCGGAGAAATAAATCTCCCAGTCCTGAAGCAGCTGGCTCACGACTCCCGGCTCCGAGGCAGCCAGGTCTTTGGTTTCGCCTGGATCACTATCAATGTCATAAAGCTCCCATGCGCCAGTGCCATGAGGTGGAGGCAACATCACAGCCTTGTACTTGCCTCTCCGTATCGCTCTCATGCCGAAAAGCTCCCATCCGGCAACGTCGTCACCCTCGCCGTATACCTCGGGCGTCTTGGAGCTAAGCATCGGGACCCAAGACTTCCCTCGTGGAGTGACCACGTCACGACCGCGGAAAGTAGTACCGGGATGTGACACGCCTGACAGATCCAATATCGTAGGTAGGATATCCATGACGTTGGTGTAGGAGTGGCTGATGCCTCCCTCCTTCTTCACAAGGGGAGGATACCGCACGATACATGGACACCGTATGCCGCCCTCAGTGGTAAAGCCTTTGAAGCCTCGCGAAGGTGCTGTGGCAGCAAGAGCCCATTGTGGCCCATACATGATGAAGGAGTTGGCATTTCCCATGTTCTCATATGAGTTGTCATAAAATTGGCGAAGTGTCTCCTGGATGCCCAGTGAGCCCATGACAGGCATGGATTCCATGGTGGAACCCTCGGCACCGTTATCAGACATAAAGACGATGAACGTGTTGTCGAGCTCGCCACTGGCTTCGAGATGATCGATGACACGCCCGATATTGTCATCGAGCTTGTCCACCATGGCCGCATAGATTTCCATAGCTCGGGCTGCCGTAGCTCTATCCTGTTCATCCATTTCACTCCATTCAAGAGCACCAGGAACGTCTACTGGCGCTGGAATGACATCTTTCGGGACCAGATGCAGTTTCTGAAGCTGACGCAGACGTCGATCTCGGAGAGCTTTCGGTCCATCGTCATACAAACCACGGTATTTGGCGATCTTCTCCTGTGGTGCTTGTAGTGGCCAGTGTGGTGCAGTGTATGCTAGATATCCAAAGAAGGGCTTCTGTTTCTCCTCCTCTGTGCGCTCATCTAAAAAGCCGAGCAGGCGATCGGTGAAGTAATCACTTGAGTAAAAGTTCTCGGGCAAGTCTTTGCTGCGATCGATGAACTTGTCGTTCTCCATCCAGAAGCCAGAGCTCTTGATGAAAGGAGGAAGTCTCGCATCAAGTTGCGGCTCGTAATTGTGGTGGTTCCCAGCGCCCGGGAGAAAGGAAAGACACTTGGTGAAACCGCGACTAGAGGGCGAGGTTTCGGCAGTCATGCCCAAATGCCACTTCCCCGAGCACACAGTGAAGTAGCCGGCATCTTGAAGTATCTCAGGCAAAGCAGCAACGCGAAAGTTGAGATAGCCTTCGTATCCTGGGTGACCGTCGTATTTTTGTCGTGAACCCATCATGAACTCGGCCATCTGGCCCAGTCCAGCGATGTGATTATCCGTGCCAGATAGAAGCATAGATCTTGTAGGCGAGCATGCCGGGGCCGTATGGAAGTTGGTCATACGCAGACCATCCTTGGCAAGACGCTGCAGAGCCGGGGTGGATATCTCAGAGCCGTATGGCTCTGTATCGCTAAACCCCAGATCGTCAGCGACGATAATGAGAAAGTTGGGTCGTTTGGATGCTTGCATGGCTGAAAGTCAACAGAAAGTATGCGAAGAAAAGTAATAGTTGATCGCGAAAAGCTGAAGTTGTCAAAGAGACTTGAAAGCTCGAATATCACAGTTGTAGCGGCTTCGTTACAGATTAATATGGCCATCGGACTAGACGAAACGCATAGATGCTTCACTGCTCGGCGGATCTCAGGGCTAGGTGAGGCCCGAGCCGATGCCGTAGCGGGAATACCGAATGTGCGTGGTTACTCCCAGCACGTACCACTCCAGGACTCTTTTGGCAACGCAGTTCAGAACTTCAGAGCTTGCGCTCGGAATTTCCGACCACAACAACTTACCTGGTCAACGGCTGTCGGTGATGATCGACCCTGACACTCGAGTACAGAGACGAATGAGGTAGGTGGACAATATGGAAACCACCGGTCTCCTCGAAACCTGGGGTATTATGCGGGGGAAATCCGAGTCCTAGACTCACTTGAAGCGCTCCTGGATTCTTAAAGATCACTTGCGGCCTCCATAAAGTTAGGTAATTTTGATATACAGTCGATGGTGTTGTCCTTCATACAAGTCGTCAAATTTCTTTCCAGTTGAGCAGTCAATCCACTTGCTCTGCCGTGTGTTGCACAGAATCATGAGAACGATCTGGCTTCCAGCCCGGCGGCTGCCCTTCAGTCAAGATGTCACATGGAGCATGGGAGTGCTCTGCCTCATTTTGGGCCTGAACGTGCTCAGTAACGGTTTCGATCTCTCGATTTACAATACAATTCAGGCCATGGACTGTGAGTGAACGCTGAGCCTGCCCAAGTTCGCTCATTTCCCGACCATTGATAACGAGCTGTTCTTGACGTCGTGTTTGCGATACAGCCTTTCAACAGCGATTTGGAGACACATGCGATGCGAAAGGAGTCTGCCAAATCAGTACCACAAGGCTCTCTCTATTGAACTCGATTCCCTTTCTTGCCTATGCACTTGGTCTTCCATTTGCCTCTACCATCGGCGAAACTTTTGGGCGGCGGGTCGTCTACATCCTGATGAACCTCGTTTGTATTGCAGGTGTCTCTGTCACATACACGTCGCAGTCATTTGGCCAGGTACTCGCAGGCCGCTGCATTGTTCACATTTACACGGGGATGGAAAGCTGGCTTGTTCCCTTGTTCATCGCCGAGGTCGTCCCAGCAAAGATTCGCGGCATGTTTGTTTCCGGCTACATGATCGGCCGCCTTCTCGGCACGATTATCATTAGCTGTGTATCGTTTTCCACGTCAACGTGGCCGGGCGACTCATCCTGGAAGACGCCAATCGCCGTGCTGTTTTCTATTCCCAGTTTGATGATTCTCGTTACCGTATTCGTCCCAGAGTCGCCCCGCTGGCTATTGGTGAAGGAACGATATGAAGAGGCACTCGTGAATCTTCAAGGGCTGAACGGCGGCAGAGCTGGCTTTGACGGCGAAACCGAACTTGCTACCATGAAGGTCAACTTAGAGCAGGGCACAGAGAAAGGTTCCTGGGCGGACTTATTTTGTGGCGATAATCTTGTACGTTGCCTCCAAAAACCTCTTTTCGAATCCCTTTCACCCGTGTACTTGGTCAAGTGTTGTAAGCTGACTAGGAGCGATCCTAATAGAGGAGGACTACTATTGCTTTGCTTCCACCTTTCTTCTCTCAAGCGACTGGCCAAGCGTTTGCCAATGTCTACGGCACAATCTTTTATAAAAGTATCGGCACCGTAAACCCCTTTGTCTTCACCATTATCTCTCAATGCTCCGGGCTGATCGGATCCCTGTTGTTTATGCTCTTGGTTGACCGAGTTGGTCGCCGCTTCTTTTGGAAAACCTTAGTGCCGCTGGGAGGTGTCTCCATGATGATTCTTGGAGGGCTCGGAACCGTGCGAGATCCGTCACAACCCGAGAAACTAGCTACAGCTTGCATGCTGTCGCTGTTTGGGTTCTCTTTTCTAGGTTCTCTTGCACAGCTGTAAGTCATTCTGAATCTCCGTCAGTTCACCATCCATTCCCATCCAATCTGCCCTGGCCGATTATTTGAGCTTATTACCTATGGCGATGCTTCAGCCAAAGCTGACTCGTTCGTGTTCCAGGGCCGCCATCACCCCTGCTGAAGTTCCCTCGCCTCATCTTCGCGGCAAAACTGCTCTGATGGCGTGGACCGTGAACAATTCTGCCAACTTCGTCGCCACCTTCACTTTGCCATACCTTATGAATTCTGGTTATGGTAACCTCGGACCCAAAGTGGGTTTTATCTATGGGTCGTTCAGTCTTATCAGCGCTGTTTGGGGCTTCTTCTACTTCCCCGAGATGAAGGGGAAGACTCTCGAAGAGGTGGACATGATGTTCCGCGCCAGAGTGCCTGCGAGGAAGAGTAGCTGTAAGCTAATTATCTTGCCCGATAAACGATGTTCGCCTTCGTAACTAACCATAATTGGACAGCCTGGAAGAGCGAAGGATATGTCGATGCAGTCAATGGTGGCAAGTTTGAGGACTCTCAGGTGGATTAAGTCTTTTGAGTCTTCGGGGGCCGCTGAGGAAGCTTTCACGCTTGGAGTGGGAAAGGCAAAAGCTACTTGTTACGTTCCGAGGAGCGTACATATCAAATTAAGCCACATTTGGAACAACAAGCTCTGCAGTATTTCTCATCATACATGCATTTCGAGTAAAAGACGATTTAGAATGCTACTCATCCAAGATTGAGAACATAACAAGGTCACCAAGGCAGATGAGTGAGGGACCACTCTGCAGGTTTCCATGGGTACACGGGTGTTTTGACCATACTTCGTCTTAATGTTTGTGATAGTATTCCATGGCTAATACAAGAGCATGCCAACGAAAGACGCTCAACTATCTGTTGAGCTTGGCGCAAATACCGAGGACCATTTGTCGAAGCTGGGGCTCGACTCGCCGAATGAGGTTTGCTATGGTTTTGTCAGAAGCCCATTTCTGCCAACGACGGCTATCGCGTATTCTGTGCGGCTCTCGCCTTCAAGAAACCGCAATTCTTCGCGACATCCACAGCCACCGACCGTGCAACGGCTGCTGTCAACGACTTCCGGCGGCCCGCTTCTCCCTTTCCGGATCCGTCGTACGACGGGACGTGGGGACTACATCGAAACATGCGGGATGTAACCTGACTGGGATTCCCCGCGCGCCGGCAAATCCGAGCAGCCTAGCCAGTGCGGTACATGGTCCTACTAGGGTACATACGGACCAGAAGTTCGCTTTGGCAAATGTCGTTGTCGTCAGCCTTAGATCTAAACAAGATGCTCAGGGTCGTTGCTGTACTAAGACGTTGCTTAGCCGCGGCTTCCAGCCAAGGCGGCAGGGTGGGCATGAAAGGAATGGCACAAATCGTTGAACCGAAATTTCGTCTGATTTGTGATTGATCGATCAGCACAATGGTTCATTCTTCCCGGTCTTGCTTGAAGTTGTTTTCTTCGTCGAGACCGGAACGTTGGCCTTGGCCGACTTGCGCTTGTACTGTTTTGCTTCGCATACTTGCCGAGCAGCTCACAGTTCCTCAAGGGCTCTTTTTCTGTCAGGAAGTGACGAGTTGCGAATAGTCCTGTTCAGGCTCGCCAGCTCGAGCTCCAGATTAGGCGGTGTTCTGGTTTACTTAAACTCGAAGCCCGCTTTAGCTTTGCCGGCTTCCCAGTTGTGGGTGATCTAATCCAAAGCGAGATATGCCTGCATCAGATAACGATTGTACTCTTCTAGGAGTTTCACAACGCTCTTGATGGTAGCGTGCGGTAAGCCTTGGCAGAGCGCCTTCTTTTGCACCGGGTATTGGTATTAGCACTGAGTCTTCCGGAGGATCGAGCAGTATGAATGCCATGATTCAGATACACCGGAGAGGATCCCAAAGGGAGTGATGCAAAGGTGCACGGAGTACCAATGTAAATTTGTGCTATCTCCGCAGGACGATTCGCGTGGTCGTAAAGTCGCCGTACCTTGGAAACCTCATTCTCTTTTGCCAAAGACTCGCGTTTGCACTTGAGACTTTTGGAACGGGCTTTTTGGGATACAAGAAAGAGCCTAGGACCTCCTCGATGATCTTATCGACATCGTAAAGAACCTTCAGGCTAATCAAGATGAAGAAGAATGCCGTTGTATGGCTTGAAATCCCCCGCCAGCGGGATTTGAGCCTCAGTGCATGTACATGATTTGACCACACGAGCGTACCAACCATTGCTTAATTGTGACTTCAGGTACGTCGTATGCGTCGAACTTTTCCACAATCGAGGACATCTGGGGAAATAGCGCCCGGCAGAAAAAGCACTGAAACGATGATGACTTCCAATGAGAGCGGCCGATGAACGCCACAGACGCCCACAGCCTACCTACTTTGGCGGGATACAAGCACCTGAAGTACCTTACCTTAGGGGGTAGGTGGGAAAGGTACGAACGAGGACATTGCGTTTTACCAAGCAGGCCAATCAAGAGTTTTGTCCACGATTCTGGACAAGTTGGCCCCTTTCTTCTGCTAACTTGTGTTTGGCTTGGTACAAAAAGTCGGCGGTCCGCCTGAGATCGTTCCCGTTTTGTCATCGCCTTAAATTCAGAATTTCTAAGCATTGTGGGCGATAAACAGGTTTTTCTCGGTGTACGACATGCCTCCATCCCCTCCTTGTGGTAGCGGTGATGACAACGGCGCGGTGATGCCGACCACAGCGGGACTTCCTGTGGAACCGACTTACCCCGTCACAGAAGTTGAGGCTTCAGCCCCCTACAGTCCTACAGCGGAGACCTATGCAACGGGAGAACCATCGCACCAAAGTTCGTCGCATGGGAGGTTGATTGCATTCAAGAACGACTACAATCGCTCAGATGATTTTCTTGTCAATAGAGGAAACGCACACGAGCCAAGAATAGCGTACCTAGCACGCTTGAGAGAGACCATTAGAAATCTCGATAATGTTTTCACAAAAAACTCGGCAGCTCGGGTGAATTGGCTTCAGAGATTTCCAAAATTAAGCTCCAAGCACCACCGAAACTTTACATCCAAAGTGTCAGTTGCCTCTTACCCTCGCGCAACAGTGGGATGCTGACTTACTGCGTCGTTTAGTCCAGGAACAACGACCCTTGAGCAAGCGCAAGCGACTTCGGAAAGGCCTGAACGACTGATAGAATCCGTATCGTTAGCTGTAGACTCGACTGTTCAAACAGGGTCGATATTCGACGATCAAGTCAGCCGGCAGTCCATCTCAAATACGACAGCCAGCTCGTTATCTGAAGACGATTCCCTTGGCCCGTTTCAAGGAGGACACTCAAAACCCTGCAGCATAGATGGCGACCATAGTGATGCTTCCTCCGAAAACGACTTTGGGCAAGACGAGGAACGACTTGTGTCAGATGAACAATATCCACTAGAGAGTTCTATTCGAAGGGCGCTAGCTGCTAGCCCAGAGTATGCCGACGTCGTAGTCGACATCCTTCAACGTCGACTTGAAGATTTCATACCGCGTAGCCATGAGTCTTCGGAAGTATCAACACTGCTTACGGGCATTCTATGCACGTTGGGAAATGATGCGAAATGTGAAGCGGCTGATGGAGGAAGTTCCTCAACAGAAAAGCGTTCGACTGGCAATAATGGGGCAGGAACGCAAAATTCAGCAACACCAACCAGTGCTACCATTCCGACCCATCTATCACCACTGCCTTTGAAATCCAAGAGGGACAGGGATGAAGAGGAGGATGAAGATAAGAAACAAGAGGTGCCGCCGGCCAGAAAAGCTCGGTGTGACGAGCCAGGCAAACACTTGCTCTGTCCCTACTTCATGAGGTATCGGAACTCGGTGGGTGGAGCTTGTCGAGCGCCGACCTCGTTCAGGACGTTCAGTGATCTGAAGTAAGTTGATGCGTTGTCCCAAAGAGCAACAGGCGTTCTAAATCAATTAGGAATCATCTGCACTCGATGCACCTCGGGGGCTCTCGGGATGAACTGCACATGAACGATCAGGATTGGCGTGCCATCCAAGTAGTACTTGATAAAGCCAGCAAAACGAGGCCCAAGAAAGGTACCGACGCTTCCTATCAGAAGCATTTGGGCACTTTTCAGAAAGTTTGGAGCATTCTCTTTCCAGACTGTGATCCTTGGACCCAGTCTCCTTGTAAGTCCTGGCGTCGGCTCCCTAAGGCTCAGCCCGATCACTTTTCTGCAAACTAACACTCTTGAAGTTTGCGAGAACGATGAGAATCTTATGGCAGAAGAAGTTGGAGTTTGCGATGACTACGGGGACTTCATTACAGGAAAAGTTGAAGAGGTCCTTCGCTCTATGTTTGACTCTGAGGCTCAACAAGCTTTCGAACGCGGCGGAGTCTCCAGCCCGGCTGAGTATCGCGCATCTCGCAACATGGTCGGTAAGATGATGAAGAGAATCTTCGAAATCGTCGCAGTCCACAAGCCGGAAGTTGCAGACCAATTTCGTGACATATTCAATTCGACCACTACAGGCGTGATGGGTGGCCAACGGATCGGATCTCAGAACATATCTGTCGACGAGGATCCCGGCCTTCCGAGAGCCGCCGCAGATACTCAGGAGCCGGGGCCTTCACACTCATCGCAGATGACAATCGAATTATCCCTCTCTGGTGGAGAAGATTCGTCGCATCCAGGCTCAACTTCTGTAGTCTCTAAAGAGACGTTGGTTCAGCCAGACTCGGCAACCGACGATTTTAAGGGCGGAAAGAAGTTCTGTGATCAGGAACCTCCAGAGACGGATCGGCTGCATGTACAACCGGACTTTTCGCATATTCTTGGCAATTACTATCCGCAAGAAGCCTCTGCGGAGGCTCTTTCGTCTCAGATACCGAAGTCTTTGTCGACTCAGGAGCCTGCGACTTCTTTCCTAGATGAGACGATGGAAACTCCGATGCCACACGAGAGTGCTATTGACTGGGACTGGGAAGAATCCGCGAGTACCTTGATCGGTTACGGCCTGTATCCTTTATCTCAGTTGAACTAAGATACTGAAGAATCATGACAGCAGTCATATAATATGGCTGGAGCCGCATGTAGAGGCACGACTTGGTGAGATCAAATACTTGTGCAACACGATGTTGTCAAGAAGGTTACTCTTGCTTGGCGTTTGAGGGATGGCAGATTGTAGAAGATCATCCTAGTAATAGAAACCACGAAGACAATTTGCTAGAACAATGCTTTTAATGACACCAATGAGATCAAGGTTGATTCCATGCCTGTCAAAGCGGACAGTTGGCAGTCAAGATAAGGTGTCGGTCAGCGTATAGGTGCCCCTGCGATCTACCACCACCACATTTCCATCAACTATGCTTCTAGGAGCAAACTTCTGAAGAATGTACCGGAGAATATACAGTTGATAACTTCCATGTACATCAGCAAATGGGAAACAACGGGATACGAGTAGTAATAAACTTAGAGGTAGGGGGGAAATGATATGCAGTCAGTCAGTCAGTCATCGCATCGGATGTGGTGATGCTGTTGAAACTACTCCAATATCGATTTCTGAGCCAGTTTGTCAAGGACAGCGGGACTATTCGTTGTAAATTCATCCACCGGATCGTTGAGCTTGGAAACATTGATTAGGATTAGTCAGAATTCTTCCAGGAATTGAACTGTGCCAGCAGCCCAACACACAGCTTTTTCATGACGGCCCATTAATCCGATCTTACTGCTTGCTTGGACTGCCGAAGAAAATCGAAACAATGTGTTATGGTTGCCGCAGACTCGGCTTCGCGGAACCCTCGCCCCCGCCTGACCCAGTGCACGACCGGGAGGACGAGGAGCCGCTGCCGCAGCCAATAGACTTTGACAGGCCGGCGCCTCGAAAGAAGCTCCAACCGAACCCCAAGACCATCGTCCACTCCGCGCCTAGCCATGATGGCATTCCGGCCTTCGTGGCATACTCAGTCCCCGCAGACACTCCGGAGGATGCCGACCTGACGCCCTTGCGCCCACCGTACGCCTACGTCTTTTACGACACTTCCCCTGGCGCGCTTATTCCGGGACGCGCCGAGGACCTGGCCCGCTCCATATTCGACGGCACCGAGGACGACCGCAGCTCTTGCGGGCTGCCGGACAGAGTCGAGGTCTTTGCTATGCCTCTTCCACCTCTGCCCGAGACTGGGAGCCCGTATTCTGCCGAGGACGTGGGGCTTGACCTCGTCCTTTCACGAGAGAGTCCCTGGTATGCACGTCTCGCCGCACGCGTGTCGCGAGACCCCCAGGACGCACACTGCCTCCAGCACGCCGCCGCTTGCATAAATCATCATGAGCGGGAAGTCCAGAATCGCCTGGCCATTGCGGACAGGGCGGAGGCGGTTTCGTGGTACCTCCCAGAAGGTTTGAGCGACGCCGAGTTCACCCGTCACATTGTGGTTGTCGATAGGCTTGAGGATAAACCCAAGAACCCGCCCGGGCCCACCCGTTGGCAGGAGACGCTCGCCTGGACACACTCTCTTCCAAGCGAGCAAAGAAACCCGGATAAAAACAGGGCAGAGAGGGCTGAAAGCAGCCCGTACGGAAGAGGGTTGCTGGTCGACTGGCGGCCCCGCCATCAGAACGAGGATGACGAGGACAATGAAGCACATCGCGTTTGAAATGCTGGGGAAGTCAGTGTTGATTTCCTCCCGATACGGAGTTAGAACCCTCTATGAGCATTTCCTTCCCGACGGCGTATTCGATTTTGAAAGAGAGAAGGCTCGTGAACGAGGAGCAGACGATAGGGTGGACTTGCCGATGTAGAATAGACCCTTTCCTCGCCTTTATTAGTCGGGCAGAGTCGCCAGCCTACACCTCTCTGATGTTGTAAGAGGTGGCCACGCTTCTTCACACTAGACTAGTCGGGAAGATTATGGAATTTTGAGGAAAGAGACATGCTTTGGGTGGTTACTGAACCTAGTTCTGCAGGCACCTCACGTGCCGAAGAAGTTGACCCTCGATTAGTCGAAAGCGCGTCAAATGAAGACTTCATACTCATGATTGTATACATATTTGCCTACTTGACTCAGGCGTTGTACAGAATCACAGGTGCTAGAATGGGTGTCTCTTGAGAAGTACACATTTGAGAACTGCTCCCGCCACAGCAGCCGTCCAACCATCAACCGCTGAGCAAGAGCAACAGTAACAACAACAATAACATCATCATTGTCCTCTAGATGCGAGTCGGGGCACCAATGTTGACCGCGTTGCCTTGTCCGTTGATGGTTTGGGCAGGATTTCCGGTGGCGCCGAAAATGGACCATCCCGTGCCCCCGGATCCTGGGCGCGGAAACCTGGCCCCGGCCGGACTGGCCCAGCCTCCGGCGCCGAACGCGGCGTTGAGCCAATTCGGGTCGTCGGTATTGCCCCACACCACGTTTCACAAGGAGTTGACGCTCTTGAATTTCTTCTCGTAGGCGGTCTTGGCCTCGGAGCTCTTGAGGGCGGCCGTCTGCTCAATGGCCAGGAGATAATCCTCAATATATCGAGCATAGAGGGCGCGGAGCGAAGGGTTGCCCTTGCTGTTCACGGGAGCCCCGGCCCTTTCGTTCCAGCGTCCGGCGTACTGGTTGTCAAACTCCCAGAGCACCAAGTCGAACCAGTTGGACACCCGCATCCACTTATTCCACACGGGATCAACGACGGGGAAAGGGCCCGAGCCACCCGTGCCGCTCGGAGGCGACCACCGGAGGTACTCAAACACGCCAAAGACCTCGCGATATGTAGACCGGTACGAGTTCAACGCTTGCGTTTCGGGTTCCACAGAGACTTAGTCCAGCTTCATGAATTTGCCCTTGTTCTTGTTGACAGATTCGCTGACTAGCACCAGGTGGGACTCGCCGCGTGCTTTGGTGAAGGGCGAGGGGCCGACGCCACCGGACCGCCCGAAACCCCAGATCAAGATAGTTTCCAGCGTCACCGGAGGCATGTTCACGCCCAGAGGCGCTGTGTTCATGATGAAGGAGTACGGCTGGGCCCCTGGAATGTTGACACCCAGCAACCCATGACTCCGATTCCCATGAATAACGGGTTCACCACTGTGGGCGCGATCCCGATTTGGGCCGACGAGGAACTTTGAAGTGGCCAAAGCAGGCTTTGCCTGATATCTCAAAAGACTTCTTGGAGCATCTAGCATGCAGTCAACAACCACAACTAACGGAAGAGAAGTACTCGCAAGTTGTCGTGGCAGGCTTGAGCTGCTTGGACGGGGAAATGATGACGTATAGGAGACAACGGGGAGAACGCCGTCAGCCAGACTTAGCTCTCTAAGAGGAAGAAATTTATCCGGAAGGTGCTGCGGCACATCATCAATAATACACTATAACAGCTTTGTCATTCCGGGGCTGAGGACTTTGGCGTTTCGAGAGACCGAATGTAGAGGATCGTACTGGAATGTAAAGGTGCATGTCATCGTTGACTATTATTCCAGCCTCCACACGTACGAATAAGTGTCCCCTGGTTGAAGTGGCCACAAGCTTTGAACGAGCGGTAATAGCATGCAGTTACACATGTTCAGTCACAACATTCTCTGCTAGGAATCCGAAAGACAATGATCTGTAGTGAATCCATAGAATTGTGAGTCGAGATTGTTTCAAGATGATGAATGATCATGAATATTGTGGTGTATTGTGTGTCTGCCGAAGAGGATAGTTGGTCAGAGTTGGCAGGGGAAGAGAAAGCATGGAGGTTGGAAGGTGAGGTACGTAGCCAGAACTAAGGTGGGGGGTATGTGCTCCAAATGCACCGTCCACCAGGTTCGCCCGATATAGTTTCTGGCGTTTTGGGGCGCGGACATGGCTCAGCATTTGGTCATTCTTAACTGAACGTCTGGCGTATATCGCTCATTCAAGTTTCTTTCGCCCAGGACAGAATCTCTAAGAATTTCGTCGGTAAGCCCTGTGCATCGGACAGAAACCTAACCATAGTGGCGGAAGCCATTCAATTCTTTCCGTCGACCGGACTGAGCTGACCAAAGATCCAATTTGCAATCCAGACGTCTCCCCATATTTTCCAGTCGCCTCATGAAGTCGTGTCGGTAGAGGCCAATGTAGGCTTCTTCTTGACAATATTTCCTGCCTCGCCCGTCGTATCTAGCTCAAAGCTCTGCGCAATATCCGTTCCTATAATCACGCCATTGGCATGGCCCGTTCCGTCAAAGATCTCATCCATCTCCTCTAGAGTTCTGCCTTTTGTGTCAACGAATAACCAAATCGCAGTAGCCAAGATTGCGAGGTTCCATCCGCCGTTAATGGCAAAGTAGCGCCAGCCAATCTTTTCCATAGCTATCGGCGCCGTGTAGAGATTGAGGAAGCTGAAAGCATAGCCAATGGCCTGAGAAATCGCCACTCCTTTAGACCGCTGTGAGTATTTCAAGATCTCAGGTGGATATGTATAGGCAAGGAGCATCCTCCGACCGTGTTAGTTTGATTTGCATCGTCTTCGAGGCTACAACGGGGCTTACCAGCTGCAAGACACGGCCAAAAGGAATAAGCCCACAACAGCGATGGCACCAATGGCATATCCGTGGTTGTTGGGATATTGGCCTGCAAGGTACGAAAGGCTGGAAAGAATAGCAAAGAGGACGACAGTGGCAGCTGTGCCAAAGACTAGATATGTACTGTGAATCTTATGCGTCACACGAATCAAAGTAGCAAAACTTACTAAGAGCCTTACGAGTGCCGATCTTGTCGATGACGAAGACGCCGGCGAGGCTGCAAAAGGCGTTCCATAACAGTAGGCCCATATTCACCTGGATGATAGTACCGCGGTTTTCGATTCCTAGTCCGGCAATTAGGAAGGATGAGAAGTACCTGGGTATACATAAGTCGGTGGCAGCTCGCGCATCATTGAAAGGATGTATGGACTTACAGGATGACGTTTGCTCCTATGATTTGGTAGCAAATGTTGATCAGCACGGCGATGATGAATCTTTTCAGATTCGAAGCTGTTGTTTGGTGTTAGACGTCTGAGACCTGGATGAAAGAACAGGTACGCGCCTTACCAGGCGAGATGAGTTCTCTCCAGCCGCCGTTGTGTTGCTCTTCATGTTTCAAAGTTCCCATGATCTCCTGAGTCTCTGCGATCACCAAGGGATGTTGGCGATCTCCGTTGGCATGCAGACGAGCGAGAATTTCGATGGCCTAAACAGCTTTAGACACTAGCGGTCAGCGTATATCAGATGCAGCTACCTACTTCTTCAGTACGGCCCTTGTGGAAGAGCCATCGTGGGCTCTCGTCAACGAATGGTAGGAGGCATAAAGCAAGGACAGATGGCACTGCTTCTCCCTTTATATAACAAGTCAGCTACGGTCTGAGTCGTCATCAAGAGTCACTCACAAGCATGATTCCACGCCATGCCCAGTTCGACTGGTTATCCCATATCCCTAAAAAGATGCATGTCGTGAAAAAGGCAGTAAATGGCGCGGAGACTAGCACGGCGTTGGCCAGCATTGATTTATATCTGGGCGTTCCCAGCTCCATGATCCACATGGGAGGCACAGAACCGTTGATCAACGTAGCAAAGCCGATGAGAAAGCGACCGCAGACGAGTTGTGCAACTGAGCAACATGTGTGTAAGCGAAGGTTCTGGCGAGAGAGAAGCCGACATGGCGCACTCACCTTTGGTTGCGGATGCTTCTAATATGACGCCTATGATGATGCTCATAGCGCCTAGCCCGAGACCAGCCTTGCGTCCCCAGCGATCAACAAGGTGGCCAACAACAGGAGCGCCGATGATGCATCCCGCGCTGATGATGGCAGCATTGAGACCGTCCATATCACTATTGAGCTTAAAATCTGTTTCAGCTTGTCAACTAGGGTCGCTCATTATATACTAGACATGATGCTATTCAACCCACGTTGTCGGTACGGCACGACGGCGTTCAGGTTGTTGACCATAGCGGCATCGTAGGAGATGATGCAAATGCTGAAAATTGCCTCGCAAAAGATCAGCGCATGCGAAAGAGTACTGCCCAGCTTCAGCGAAGCCATGATCGCGCAATATCTTGCAAATGACCGTGTCTCATCGATTTCGATTTGGATACAAATTTCGATGAAACGCTGTCATCGCTTGGGTCTCCAAAGATGTGGCAGGTGTAGATAGCCTCAACTAATGTGGCGTAGAAGCGAACCCCAACAATATGGGCTCATCTTATAGTCATAGCTTCGACAGCTTGGGAGTAGAGCACAACTTGCCTCGTTACAACTCCCTCTCCATTCAGCTAGATCAGCATAGCGTACGGAAGAGCCTGTCATTAATGTCCAGGATCAGGGGAGAAAAGGCCATAGCCAGTCCCAAGTTATCGCAACTCTATGAGTGGCTTATGCGCAGAAGACAAGTAAATCCAAGCAAACACCCGGCGGCTTATCAGCAAGAGAAATGCCTACGGCTCAGCTTGAGCCAATCAGGGAACCATGGTTGACGTTAACCGTGGTTGACGTTTATCAATTCTATCGGTGTATTTTCCCCGGATTTCCCGAACTTTCCCAGGCGCTGAAATCGGCCGAGTACTGCCAATTATCTGCGAGTTTCGCTTTATACCGGGCTTTGCTATCATACTCATCTTCGTCAGACTGTCCCCGATTGCTCGGATTGAGTGGTGATGACCTATGATAGGACGACCATTGAGTGCACCAGTTCCGAATACCTGGTGAGAAAGCAGCATTGGGGTTGTTTGACATCGAATTCCTGATGGCAGAAAACTGGATTTCTATGAAAGAAGCATGAGGTCGGTCTGTAACACTTTGACCGATGAGTATTCTACCCAGATCATTGCAAATCCGAAATGGCAATTGGCAACAGACAGCAGGCACCCTCAAAAATGAGGGAGATGGTTTCTGTTCTTCTCAGGACGTCACATATACTATTCTAGCCCAACGTATCTCGGATTCTAATGACTGGCTGTAGTCAGCAGAGATAATGACAATATCGACGCCAATATGGTACATCAATAATCACAGGAACTGCGTGAAGACAGCTTGATTAATCTAACGACGAGCGCCAGGCGCACCTGGCCATAAAGTGGTGTGGCCGATTCTTTACAGGATTCGGGCGGGCATTCGGGCGTGTGGCACGGGGCCGAGTTCCGTCTCGCAGTAGGTCTGGAAAGATCCAGTGGGCAAGTGGTCGACAACTAATCTCAATCAACCGTGGCATAACAGTGTCGTAATTCAATTCAATCTGGTCCTCATGGTCGATTGAGTTGCCTGCGAAGAACGCTGTAAGAACGCTGTAAGAACGCTGTTTATTGCCAAGAAACAACAATCCTCCCCCCCCCTCCCCCGGTTTCTGTACTGAGAAGTTCGCCCGGAAACACTGGTCGAATATTTACTGGAAGTTTTCTATCGCTACGTTACTATTGACTTCATACTTGCGCAGCTCGTCTTCGGCTTTCAAAGCTGCAGCCTGAATGATGCCCTTGGTAGTACTCGTCCGGGGCTTGAACTCCACCGTGAATGGCAACGGCCTTGGGGCTGGGCTATCATTAAATGCAAAGATATCCAGCTCCTTCGAATTTCCCTAGATTGAGTCAAATCATCAGCAACTGATTAATTGGCGTGTTGCGGCGAATCTAAAGTTGACTCACATGTTCATCGGTAGATCGCATTCTAAATGACCAAAGTAATCCCACAATGGTGAACCAGATACCTTGTTCAGCAAGGGGTTGCCCACTACAAAGGCGTCGGCCCCAACCAAACGTGAAGATGCCTCTTTTGCTAGGATTTGGCTGTCGCTCATCCAAGAACCTCTCGGGTCGTACCTCATCGGGGGAAGGGTAGTCTCGTGGATTGCGATGAATGGCCCAAAGGTTTCCAATGATCGAAGTACCTCTGGGAATAAACATGCCCTTGTAGGTATCGTCCTGGACAGGTGAATGAGGGGGACCTCCAAGTGCAATCGCAGCTCGCCAGCGAAATATTTCCGTAAGAAGCGCCTTACAGTATGGAAGAGAGTCCTCATCTGCCCAAGTAGGAGGTTCGCCTGCTAGGACACGATCAATCTCCTCCTGCGCCTTCTGTTGAACACGCGGGAAAGCACACATAGCAAAGATGAAGACAATGATAGAGGTAGTCGTCGTATCTACGCCGCCTCCGATCAAATTACCTGTCAGACTGGCGATTTCTTTGGGAGATAAGTTGTTCTTGTCCTGGTCCTGCATGAGACGCTTGGAGAAGCTATCCTGTTCCAGTTGAGCCCCTTCGACGGTGAGGGCATAGAAGTATTTTAGCAATCTTTGCCCTTCTTCCCATATCATGGAAGGAAATGGGTAGATCCGTTTAGGAAGCTTGCTGATCCATGGATAGGCTTCAACTAAATACTGAGCCGGTGTAGAAAAGCCAGCTCCTGTCTGCACAAAAGATAACGCAAGGTTGGCGAGATCGTCATCCATTGATCGAACTCGCCGGCCCCATCCGATGATGGCGGCAACTGAGCATGCGTATCGCTCAATAGCCGAGACGAACTGTTGGGTCTCCATGATATCACGAACCAATATCTTGGACTCGTTGGCTTGGAATGTTTGGTATCCTCGAACGGCTTGGCTGCCAACCATGGTATGCTTTACGTCGTCAATAAAAGACTCCGCAGGTAGCAACAAGATCGCATTAGGCAACTGACCGTGATACGTCGATGTAAACGCCATTTATCTCCGTATACGAGGCTGGTCTGATTGTTTTCGGTTTCGTCAAATGCATCGGCCAGGTAGGAATGTGGACGCGACGAATAAATTTGGGCTCGTTTGTCCATCAAATCCGACGCTGCCCAACAATCGTTTACAACGACCGTTGGACGATTTCCCGTCCAAATGGTGATCAGAGGGCTATCGTATTCCTTTGACCATTTTTCAAAGATGAGATAGGGCTTCGCTGCGGGCACACGGCCGATGTTTCCAACAATGGGATATGGGAACGGGCCGGGTGGCATGCGAGACCTCAAGTACAACACATGGGCATAAGAAACAAGAACCCACCACAGGAAAACAATGATGAGTACTGATAGTGAAGCGGCCGCCAGGCGCAAAGGGCTGTCCCAGTGTGCTGGGAGATAGATCAGGAGGGACATTGTTTTGAAGTAGGTATTGGCATAAGTCGAAAATAGCCTTTTGCCGCTCGCCTTGATCATTCTCGAATCCAAGAACGCATTTCAGGTGAGCCTCGCTGTCTTATCTCTGCACTTTGCTTTCTCTTGATGAGATACAGATAATTCAAGATCTCCATGACAGACGAACGTCAACCTCTGGGTCGGCCGAGGATTCCGCTGTCCCGGGGTGGCTTCTTATCTGGCTCGGCCGAGACTCCCGTTGCAGTTTGATAGCTGTCAGTTTGAGGTCTCTGACTGGAGGCACACGGTTCCATCTTGATCCAAGTGATATCTGCTACGTGCCCGCCACACCTGTTTTACTGCCACCAAGCCCCCAACAAGATCCTCTCGTAAGGTACCTGAAGTGAACGGACCGGGAAGAACTTCCTACCGCTTTAGGCCCGGGAAAGCTAGTACTTGTGGAGTTGCAGAGTAGGGCAGGTGGTACCTGCTGGGAAAGTGCCGGGAGGGGCGATGGAGAAGGAGGAGTTCCCACTGCTGCCCTGCCTACTTTACCTATGCTACCATGTAGTGTACGTAGATCCTACCCCGCTCCCCACTGTCGTCCAACTGGTCTTTGTGCCTGCCTACGGATACATACTTGCCCATCAGACTCCAGTTCTTCCCTCTCTTTATCGTATGTTGCAGGAGAAAATTTGAATATGCCTTTTTTTGCAATGCACATGGCTGGTAGACAGCGTGACTACTTGCCTGCTCACTCTTGAGTCGAGCTGCACGTCGTGCGGCTGCAGGCAATGCCGAGAGTCCAGACGATACGCTGCGCTCCCGCCTTACAGCGTTCGTTGTCATTAGGTTTTGGGGGCCAGAACTGTAAATTGGATCCATCTGCTGTCGCAAAGTGGGAACGATGTGGGGAGATCCAAGTCCTCTGCATGGGACGTTTACATACACTAGTAGGAGGGAGGAGAGCAGCAGCCATCATCTGAACCCATACTTCTCTCGTCTCTTCTTCTTTCCGCTTCATCCAATGCGCTTTCCCTACAACCTCATCGATGTCGATGGCTCATTCCAACTTGCCTGTTCATCACTTCTCATCTCTTCGTACCGCCCCTTGGCTCCAATATTTCCCTCTTCCTCTCCTCCACACAACCCTCTCGCCGATGCCCACGCCAATGTGCATCATGCATTGGATTTGAACGCCTCACTCAACCCACTCTTTTCTCGCGCTCTACCCCTGTACCCGGCCCGGCGTCTTCTTGTGCATGGCGACTGGGAGTCAGTTTCTGGCCCTTGCTTTGGTCGAGGTCTGGGCAACTGTGCCGCTCCCGAGGCGTCCATCATCATCACGCCAGCCATCTTTCACAACCATCGCAGGGCTCCTACCGACAGCTGTGCCGCTCTGTTGCCAGGGAAATCCTTTGCCCGGAGACCTTGCCCTACTACGTAGAGAAGGATGGGCACCCATGGCATCAGGTTGCCAACTGGCTTACTTTCCAGAAGGTCTGACGCACCTGACCATTGGGAATTCCCTCAATACCAAAGTTCCCCAGACTCAATTGCCTACCTCTATTCCCTGTTCTGCACGTTGTTGGCTGTCGTTCGGCAACGGCGGGGCAGTGCGGGGAGCTGGGAAAAGAAATATCGATTGCGCAAGTGCCCGCAGAAGAGCAACGACACAGACGAAGCCATTGACCCCGCGTCCTCGACTCCTCGTCAACCGTCAACACAAAAATCGCGGGGCATGCGACAACAATGCGAAGTTGCCTACCAACTTCCTGCTGACCGTCAGCTCTCACCCATGTTCCGTGGCGCCACCCCGACGCGACTTATTCGCACAGCGTCCAAGAGGCTGGAGGCTTTGCCGCATGCACAGTCTGATCCGTTTGTCATAGCTTCGATTCTCGATTCTCGATGCTCAATGCTCTTGAGCCGCTCCTTGTCAGTCACTTCAGCCGACACGCGACTAACATACCCGAGCCATTATGGCGTGCTTTACTTATCAGATAGTTTCTCCATCCGCTCTAGAGTCGCCGGCCATCTCGCACCAGCAAATGTCTGCCCTTCCGGGGCCATGTTCCGGGGCTATCAGGATTAGCTGTTACTATTCCTGATAGAAACCAACACATCAGACTTCAGTCTAGGGCGGCTGGTCCTAGCTGGGGCGAGTCGGGGGTATCCCGCGGGAAACAATGGGCCACCTGGACGATCGCTGGGTCATACTATGGCAATGGCGGCACTTGGGGAACTTGTGCCGAGCTTCAGTTGTCAACCCACGAACACGCCGGCCATACGGGCAACAAGCGGCTTCACGTCTTGGCTGCCAACTGGGCACAGTCGGGCAATGGCTCAGCCTGTTCTACCCAATTTCGCGATGGTTTTTGGAGTATTCCAAAAAAAAAAAAAAAACATGCATCTTCCAAGCAAGTCTAGTAAACGGATGACCGAGGTCTAGTTTGTCAACACTGTTTTTCTTGGATTTGCCCGGCGCTGGCTTGGTTACCGCAGTCCCGGCTCTTTTCCAGGATTTTGGCGGCCACACCAAAACAAGTTTTGTGCTCATTCGGAGCCGGCCCCTGGATCTGGTTGGACGCGTTCCTGTACACCAACGACTTGGACTGCAGCACTGGTGCGTCTGCTTATTGGATGTTTCCCACGAGCTGCACGTCTTGAGCTTGGTGCCACGACATGGACACGAGCCCCCCTCGAGGACACAACAAGCATCGCGCTACGTTTGTCCGACATTGGGAAACTTATGCACCGGTCGAGTCCGCCTCATATCCAGCTTCTAACGGCGGAAATTTAATCAAAAGTAGACGCGGCTAGAAAAGAACTGACAGCGCAAGGCCCAACATTTATCAGCGATACGAAGACGCCGCGCCTCGCTGGCGCTCAACTTTGTTGATACTCGGGTATACTTGATCGGTCAAGACTCAAGACGGAACGCGGTTGTGTGAAGCAACTAAGGCACAGATGGACCAATGTGAGGGGTTTTCTTGGATCGCCAGCGAACATTTTTGTTACTTCGCGGCCTGCAGTGCTGCCTTGCCCGCCTTCTCGAGCATCTAGTCAGACAGGATTGACGGAAAGCCCTAAAATTGTTGGCTTCATGCCTTGCTCACAGCCAGTGTCGTGTCAATACGGCTATCATTGGGCCAAGGGATCCCCAAAGCTCACCACATAAGACACCTGGATTATATTAAATGCCCCTCCTTCTGCCGTCATCGTCAGTCGGCCACTGCCGACACCGGCCGGCTAGAAAATCAAAGCCTGAGCTGACATCCTTTACAACGGCATCATGAATGGGGCAACATGGCTAGCCGGGGGATGGCGGTCTGCCTAGTCTTTCTGCAAGCTGCAATGCCATCGGACCTAGTCAACACTCGCACTCTCATTCGTTCAAGCCATCACATAAGCTACCTGTCTGATGGCCAAAAGTGACATGGGTGTCGCTGAACCTTGTCGAGCCTCGCCGTCCTCGTCTGTCGTCGTCGTCCAACCTCGTCTCTTGGCTGCAGTTGCACTACGCACACTGGGTGGCGTATGCCTCATCTTCCGATTTCGAGTCAACATTGCGCCTTTGGCTGCCGTGTCGCCATTCGGCCGAGACTTAATCATTCATCTACACACACCACAGGACTCGTCCTACATCAGCGTCCTCACCTATCCCATCGAGCTCTCCTCCAGCCACTCAATGAGCTCCAGGTTCTTCCCAACTGCTAGGCTGCATCTCCAAGATCGCCTTTCCTCGTATCACACACTTGGCGTACTCATCCTCTACACCCTACTCAAGATCCTCCTCATGGATCAGGCCGCGGCCGGTCTGCTGTCCACATGGCCCAAGACTACTGCAAGCCGCAGTGGAGATCGCCAACCTCTGTTGGTCGACGAGCAGAGATGTCATCTCATCCTTCGCCCTCTGCTTCCTCTTCTCCTCACCTGTCCGCCTGCAGGCAGACCGGGTATGCCGGCCACCTGTTCATGGCCTCAAGATATAAGCTTACCCAGCCATCTCTTCTTTGCCTGAACCTTTTCTCCTTGTTTCTCTATCCTCTTGCAGCCCTCACCAGTCTCTTTCCATCTCCCAGCCAACCACTTATTCGTGGTCTTGAGCTATCAAGTAACTCGTTCGTTAAGGTTACTTAAGAGACTCTCGCTCAAGTCAAAGCTCTCTCTTCCTCCGCCTATCGTTTCAAGAGTATCTCTCGTTTCTCGTTTGATTGCTCTCAATCTTGCCTCTTCCCGCAGCCATGAAGTTCACCACTGCTCTGCTGGCTCTGCCCGCCACTGCCCTTGCAACTGAGGACCACGACTGGGGTAAGGATAAGACCAAGACTATTGTCACCGAAGTCCTGACCACGTACACGACCGTGTGCCCTGTTGTGAGTAGACCTAGAGCCCTTTTCACGATGCGGCGTAGCTGACGTCGCTTGTTAGACAATCACCAAGCCTGGCGAACACACCACTCAGTATGAGACCATCACGACCACGTCCACCGTTGTGGAGAAGCACCCCACGACGATCTATGAGACCCTTCCAGGCGCCACGGAAGTCGTGACGGAGATCGATACCGACTACACCACCTACACCACCTACTGCCCGATTGTAAGTAGTCCCTCCAAGCAAAGCTTTCGAGCAAAGGGCATCCTGACTAACACTCCCTACAGACGGAGACGATCGTTGGAGAAGGCACCACCAAGACCGTGGTCTACACCACACTCAGCACCGTCGTCGAAAAGAAGCCGACCAAGATCATCGAGACCGTTCCCGGCCCGACGGCAGTAGTCACGGCCACGGATGTCCAGCTCACCACCCTCACCAGCCTCTGCCCGGTCACGGAGACCTACACCGAGGGCGGCAAGACCTGGACCAAGACGTACACCACCACGTCCACCATTGTGACTCACGTTCCTACCAAGGTCTGGCAGACTGAGAAGCTCCCTGACGTCACAAAGACGGAGAAGGACGTCGAGTACACCACCATCACTTCTCTTTGCCCTGTGGTGAGTCTTGAGAATTCTTCCATCAGCCAAGCCTTCCCGAGCCTCCCGAGCTAACAAAGTGGCCAGACCGAGACCAAGACTATTGGCGGAGAGACGGTAGTCGTCACTTATACATCTACCTCAACCATCGTCACGGAAGTTCCCACCAAAGTGGACGTCTGGACGACTGTAAAGACCACTCAACATCTTTCTACGGAAGTCTATGAGACCATTACAAAGCCCGTCACGACATATCAGACCATCGAGCACGGAGAGACGGTTTGGGTCACCGCCACAGGCACCAAGACCATTACCGTCGAAAAGGTCCACACCCTCACGGAAGTCATTGTCGAGACCAAGACGGCACACGTCGAGGTCACCCAGGCCGTGACTGTGGGAGGCGAGAGCGTCGTGACGCAAAAGTCATGGGTCTACGTCACCGTGTCGGGAACTGTGTACGCTACGCAGACCCGGCCCGCCAGCACCCTCGTCGTCCCTACAACCAGCGCCGTGACTCTTCCCCCGGTCACGGTGTCGAGCCAGGCTCCGGTGGTTGTGCCTACTGCTGCCGCTGACGCCCGCAGAGCGCCGGGGGCTGCCTTGCTGGCTGGTCTCGTTGGTGCCGTTGCGCTCCTCTAGACACTTGGTCCTGGAAGATGGATCATCTGTTTCTGGACCTGTCTTTCTTTCATTTTACTTATCTGAGGGCAATGAAGACCTCATTTCTACACTAACGCCCGGGTGACTAAGCAGTCATTTGTCTCTTGGGATGAATGGGCCTTTAATGAATGGATCACTTCCATACGATTTTGATGACAAGCTCAATGCTACGACGGCACGGTTATACAGATATACCCCTTACACTCACTGATGATAAACCAGAAAAAGGGAGGACTGGAATGATGGGAAGAAACACATGACATTCAGATCTGGAATGATGATATTCCAGGTGAATGGATATGAAGGGAATTCTCTTTCAGAGCAATGGGTCATGCAAAATTCTCTCAGAAAAGGGGTATTTTGAGCAGCTTTGGTTGTGGCAGACCTAAGGTTCATTTCATGTACATAGACGTTTTAATTTACAGAGGAGGCCTTGATGATGCAGAGAGGGATATATGAGCCTTACTGATATAATATAGTACGTTGCATTTTCACAAGCACAGAAAATATGGTCAATCGCTGGTGAGAATGACTGGATGGTGACGATTTGCAAGCTTCCTACCCAACCCCCAGACCTCGTTGCGTTGCTCGCATTGTTGTGTGCTGGCTGTCGATCGGAGCGATGTCACTTCGTGTTGGGATGCTCAATGTGACCCTTTGGCATTTGGCCGGCGCAGAGCGGTGTGGTGCGGTGTATAGTCACATAGTGTGGTTGTCAATTGCGGGAGGGGCTGGTGGTGTGGTGTAGTTGGATTGGACGTCATCCTCTGGCTTGGAAATGGTAGCAGGGAAGGGTGAAAGTCTGGGGAAATGGGTTCCCCGGTTTTTCGTCTGCTAGGTAGAATTTACGGGGCTGTCCCCGCATCTCCGTTCAGTGCCCGGAGAAGCGGGGTCGTTTCTCGGGAGTTCGGTACCGGGGTAACCCGGATGTATGGGTCCGACTCCGGTAACGCAGTCATCACGGGAACGTACCTAGGCAAGTATCTAGCAGCGTTAGGATTCGGCGTTAACAAGCCACGATGTCACTACTTTTCCCCTTTTTCTCTTGGCTACTAGCCGCCAGAGACTCGAAAGGGACACCGTTTCTCAGAGGAGACTAATTTACCCGCGGTTGGGATCCGTTTCGCCTACCACTTCGCACGGTGACAGCATGCAACTAGACATCGTTCATCTCGGGACAAAAAAACACCACCGTAAATTCAAATCGCGCAACAAAAACTCTCAGACGTTGACTTTCCCTACATCGGCTTCCAACTGTAGCAGAACGCCGTTGTCGAGATATGCAAATCATCGGGAAGATCGTCGCCGCGGGCTCCACAGCTTGTCTTACTCCCCACTGCCCTGGAGTCGGAGGGACTCTGCCAAGCGGCTCTTGGAATGCCCCTAACTGCCCGGCACGTCTCCAGCCCGAGATCTAAAATCTCGTGCGGAGAAGGCCGTTTAGCCTGAAGCGGTACATCGGTGCCAAGATAGCATACGTCCGTTCTGGTAGGTATTCCGTAGAGAGGGGATGTGGTTTAGGGACTCCGAGACCCGGCGGGTCAGGTCAGGAACGGGGGGGATGCAAAGGAACAGTCCGGCAAGTACCGGCTTGAAGTCCGGTCAAGCATCGAATAGATGAAACTATTCGCGGAATCCCCACCGCTCTGTCTCCCTGTCTGATAACTTTTGGTTGCCTTTCAGGTGTGCTCAATATTGGCGACCCCAGTTCACGATGGAGCCTAGGGAGTTTGACGCAGAAAAGACTTTAGACAGATGCCGGCCGGTCCCGTCCTCTAATCCAGTTTGCCCTCGGGACCTAATCAAGCTTCCGCCCTGGCCCGCCCCTATGTCGATTGCCAAAGGAGGAAGCACAATAACAGTTCGGGAATGCTTATGTTTACATCTAGCAAAGTTTCGCAGTCGCCGAAAGTGGGTTGGCTCCGGCTCTTAGAGGTAGAGCTCTACTACCAAGATGCCACTTACGTCGTAATGTTGTCTCTGACACAGGCGTTTAGCCGCACTGCCTACACGCCAATCTAGACCGCACTGGGGTCCATCTGGTGAGACGTTCCCCGAAGCGGCTTCTCGGTGGTCTTTGGCGGGACTAGGTGGAAAGGTTAGTCGAAATCTTTAAGTGAAACCGTTGCAGATCTTGGTACCAGGAGATTGAATACCCGAGCTGCTTGCTCCACTGCGGCGCCAGCTTTGATTTGGGTTACTGTAAGATACCCACTTTGAAGAATCCGGAAGGGAGGCTTTGAGATGTTGCCTCTTTAGGAGACAAGTTTCTCGGGCTAAAGAAGTAAGAACAGTTGCTGTCTCAGATCTTGAATGTCTCTGATTACACACATACTAGGTTTCTTGGCAACAATTGATGATGTCTCGTCATTGAAGCTCTCTCACCCAAGCCCGTGATTCTTGACTTTTACTTGCTAGGATTGCTCTGAATTATTAGCCTGGAACCAAAACATTTCTAGCAATACGGAGAGTTCTGCGGAGTTGCTGATCGTTCCTGATGGAGGAGCTTGGCAAATATCGTACCCAAATTTGCTGGCACGAAAACGGCAGTGTAAGTGACAAGCCATGAGCGCGTCAAGATCTCAGCCGGCAAGAGAAGCACGCAAAGTCTGAAGTCATCGAAAGTTAAGTTGAAGGTGCATCCGAAGCATCGAGTTATTGCCCAGGACTGAGTATAAGAAGCTACGCATCTCCCGGCAATATCGCCATTCTCATCACACCTCTCATCACCATCTCATCCTCTCAACATAGCCCAGACCATCTTCTTCCAAGCTGACCACCCAGATTTGCAGCCTTCTTCTCCCTCAATTTTAATCAGAAAATATGCAGTTCTCCATCCTCAAGCTCGCCGTCGCCGCCCTGGCAATTTGCAGCGACTCCGTCCTCGGCCAAACGACCCCGGCCCAAGTCGTACAAAACATCAACATGGTCACCAAAAAGTCCAACGATCTCATCGCCCCCGCGCAGAAGATCAACGTCATCAGCGGTCCACTGCTTATCGTCGGCCTGGGACCTTTCCCGGTAAGTCGAGCCTCATCTTTTGCCGGACATAGACTTTGGTCCAAGTATTGGAGCTGACACGATCTTCCCCGCCAAAGCAAATCATCACCGGCTTCGTAGACATTGTCGGCACCGTCACCACGGCCCTCGCTCAGATGAAGGGAATGCCTCCCGTTCCGGCCGGCGCCCAGTCCGACGCCATCTTCGAGGCGTTCCGCGAGTTCGTGCGCATCCATCAGATGCTTCTCAACGTCCTCATCGGCAAGGCCGGTCTCTTTTCGACTGTTCCGTTCATCGGTGCGCCAATTGCTGCCGTCCTCAGACAGGTCGAAGATGTCGTCGACGTGAGCCTCACCCTCCCGACCTCTCAAGGAGTATCCGATGTTACAAAGATGTGGAAAAGTCTGGCTGACCCTTCTAAATTCCAAGTCTGTCGCCTTTGCCCTCATTGATGCCGTGCAGAGCAGAGCCACCGATCTCCAAGCACAGGCCAACAT